TCTCGTGAGTTGAATTCCGACATATTTACAGGATACCAGGTGGGGCAGAGAGATGTATGGGAATGGGAATGTGCTAGTACTAAGGACACACTTGAAAGTCTTGTTACCAAGAAATCATACATTACCAATTGGATCTACCCATCGTTCACAAAGGCAGACTGAGTTATTTTGTTTAACATGCAATTTAAACCCACCTTGTGCAGAACAATTCTTTTATTGCGATGTTGGTTCTTACAATCAAGATCATAATAATCAAACAATAAATGCAATTACTCCATGAACCTTAATTCCACTGTCGAGTATAGCTTTTATTAAAATTGGTATGTAGTGGCAATTTCACATAACAAAGTTGTTACATAATGAACATGGTTGTATAAACCCTTGAGGTAAGCAGTAGAGAACATTAAGAGCATCTTATGAGGTCAGATCCAGCATCCATTTAGCACAGCATCCACACACGAGCCAGTTATAGACAAAAGGGAAAGAATACAATAAATGGAAGTGCCTCAACTTAGACCTTTCATTTCCAGGGACACTACAGGTCCCTGCCCTGTATTCTTAAGCCACTCACCGTCAAAACAGGCCGATACTGCTCTAATGTAAATAATAATATGCATTTATCTCTTCTGTACTATTAGCTTACTGTCACCTAGAAGTCCAGTCCCCATGACTGCCAGGCAATGAGGAAGGGCTACCTGCTGCTGCTGTTGCTGGCAACCATCTGCTTTGGCAAACTCCTACTTCTGTTTCTATGGAAATCAGAGCTCCCACAAAGCCAGCTTGCTCTTGGCAAAATTATTACTATAACGTAAGACCACAGAAAAGCTCTAGATAGGGCAAAAGCTGTGGACGGGTACTAGTGGCTCCATCTGCTCAGGAGAAGAATGAGCTAAAATGTGGATTTCAAAAGGTAGATTAAGGGCTTTTGAACCCTCAGCAAATCCAGGTCAAACTACTGACTACATCTAAATGCGGCACATCCCTGAAGAAGTGTGAAGCAATAGTAGCTTGTACTTTTGACACCAAATCTGAACATAAGGACAATCAAAAGGCTGCTCTCCTTAGTGTTAGGACCAGTCTGCAAAACTGGAAATACACGATGTGCTTTAAAAAGTTTATGCTCCTTGGCTTTCATCTATCCTTCTCCATATCACTTGTCCAAAATGGAGATTAATGTAGTGCAATATGAGACTTATAGCACTGCCCAAGTATCCCCTTCTGGAAATGGGCAGATCCTAGAATTGAAGAAAAATAAATTCACTATTGCAATTCTTCCATCTTGCCTTGCACTGCAAAACTCGTGACACTCTGGGGGAGAGATCATAATTCAGTGGAAGAACATATATTTTGCAGATAGAATGGCGACTCTAGGCACTCTCTTTGGCAACTAGTGGAACGGCAATCTAGAATTTTGAATAAGTAGCTGAAAAACTGAGGGAATGCTTTTCAAATTTGCAGATTATATAAAATTGGGTGGAATAACTAATATTCTGGAAGTCAGAAATAATACCCAAAACACTCTTGATAGGATAGAGAAATTGCCTGTAAATAAGAAAATGTGATTTTTAATAGAGACAAATGCCAAGGTTTCCAATTGGTCAGAATCCAGCTTAAGTATTTTGTCAGTTTCTAAGCACCACACTCTAGGAATCATTCAGACAAATTGTAAGGTGCACAGAAGAGTGGCAAGCATAACTGGGAGACTAGAAATCAAGCCCTATGGAGACTGAAGGAATAAAGAATATCCGCTCTGGAATATGGTGTACTCTTTACATATCTGAAAGGCTGCCATACAACAGAAGATGAAGACCTGTTTTCTACTGTTCCAGAGTGCAAGATACAGAACAATGTTACAGGAAAGCAAAGAAGCCACTTGAAGGTAAGAATAAACTTACTCACAGTAAGAGCAGTTAAACAAAAGAACCAATTATCCAAGAAAGTGGTAGGCTCCCTTTGTGGAATAGTCAACCAGCAGATGAACACCAGTGATGCTAGAATTTGGATTCCTTCACTAAGCAAGGTATTGAACTTAAGGGCACAAATGGCCCTTTGCCTGCAAAAATGATAGCAGCCTGAGTAGATATTACTAGCCAGTTTCTTATAATCCCAAAACAGGAGACAGAATATTCCAGTTATGTGGCCCTGATTTGAGTTCATCTTCCTTCTCTTCTGTGATAGCAATCAGGGGCAGAAAGAATGGAAGCATTCTGTATAGGCTGAGAGACAAGATATACTTGGACCTAATTCTACTAGAAAAAGCAGACGTATTCAGAGAACAATGTAACCAACATTTTCTAAAGTGCTAGATTCCTAGTGGATTAAAAATGCAACATTACACTTGCAAGACAGCCACAAAAGTCAACAGGGAACTGACATTCACCAAGTGTTGATTTTTATTTCTCTAGAGAATGTAACAAAATATGGTATACATGTGTGCCCTGGCATGCACACCAACACAAAACATTCAAGAGCTAGGAGAGGCATAAGACAGCTCTGGCATTTAGGGTGATACATGCAATCCATAATTTGAGCTGCCACTTGCAATTGGAAGCAGTGCACTCCAGATGCAGCTGCACCTCTTCTCCTGTTTCTTCAAGGAGACAGAATTCAATCATAATTATTATGAGCCACTTGTTTGCAGTTATCTAACATGATGGGATGCTAATTGAGTAGGCATAAGAAAGAATCAAGCCCTGCAGAATTGTGTGAGGATTCAGTGGGGAACTCTTCTTTTTCAAACAATATGTTTATGCACAACTGGGAAATGGAAACAAGACTTTTTGATGGCCAACGGAGAATCTGATCATATCTGATTACTGAACATCTTGGATGATATTTGCTTTATTTACCAATGAACTAAATCGAGGTCTCTAGGGATTTTGTACTATTGCTAGCCACCCATATTCCACAACTGTCTGCGACTGAAGGAGGAAGGGAGCGCATTCCCGCAAAAAAAGGCAGCCATATTCAGACATATCTGGATAAGCGATGATGGAATGAGTGGAAGAAAAAATAGAGCAGAGCACAAGAAAAATATTAGAGGGGAGAAAGGAAACTGAGGAGTTATCATGCAGGCCAAAGGACTGCTTTTGAGCTTTCGTGTCTTATCAGACTGGATCTGTAGATGTGCTAAATATGTTACATGTAGCCCAATACTGAAAAGGTGTGATCCCATTAACTTTAGAGGGGGCATACTGACAAATAGCCAACAACAGAAAGCTGCCATTTGATCTAAGGCTTCAATCCAAAAACAATATCAAACCTGTATTAAGAGAGAAGCCATTAGAAGAATCTACACAAGCACTTCATTATGTCAATATGAAGTCTGGCCCAGTCAGGAGACATATGATGCATATTCCTCCTTTATGTTATTTTCCTTCCTTATTCTATTTTTCCTCCCTATATACCTTATCTGATAGTTCCTGCTAGTGCCTGCAGCTTCCCCACACTGTCAAATAAAATGTGTTTCAATATTCCAGGAATCCCCCATGGGAGCACTTTGAAATAAGGAAGATGAGAGGAGACTTTGCACACTGGGGTTGCTCAGGAACATTCAAGGTGGTGAGAAGGATAGGGGAAATAACTAGGAAAGAAGGTAGGTAGAGGAGAAACAAGGTGGCATATCAGGAAAGATATAGGACAAATGAATAGTGGAAACAGAATAGCAGTTCTATGAAAGAAATGAGATACACATACCAGCTGAAGTGGCAAATGGACTGGGCTTTCAAATGCAGTAGATGTTTATCATTTCATCTACAAGTGCATTCCACACATCTCCACTCCTGGGTATCTATGGACCTTCATAATCAAATTCACAAGCTGACAAAATAATAACAGCACCAATAAACCAATAAAAAGCACACCATTTCCTGTCATTCCAGCATTAAGCATTTGTGTTCTCATAAATACTATGGATGTTATGCTATATTCCTTGTCTTTGAAAGAAATACCCCCACTGCCTTACAGATGAAATAAACTCCACTGCAAATTCTGACACCACAGTTACATTTTAGAATATATGCCATGCTTTAGTAATTTCTGACATCTTTCAGAGTAAGTGTCCTGGGCTGTTTGGAGGGAAATGTGTTTGTGTGTGCGCTCATGTGTTACACCAAAGAATATATATCTCCTTACAATGATACTGCAATAGCTAAATAAATGCCAATGTGGGACTGTAAACTGAATTTTTACAGGCAAAATCTCAGGCATAAAGGTAAAGCATGATAACAGGCAAACAACTGTTTCTACTTCATCTAGAAAATGACCCACGTATAATCACCAAAATGATGTAGTTTCCTACATTAAGCAATACCACAAGATATGATTCTGCATTAACTGAAAATGTTTCTATTAATACTTTCCAAAAGTGTAGTTGCATTAGTGTTTTCCAGAAAAAGCAACCAAAAGACTTTTGGCACCTTAAATCCTAACTAATTTATTTGGCAAGAGGTTTTATAAAAGTTATCTTTTCATGATCTGCAAAGGACAAGCAGGAAGGTGTCTGCTTAGTCCCAGAAAGATTCCAAGGCCGCTTGTGGGATTGTTCAGCCTAGAAGTACGTTTCCTAGGCTACATGCTTAGCTCAGTAGTTTGGTAGAAGGACCTCAAAACCCTCTATCATCCTGTTGTCATGTAATGTTCTTCCCCCACCATGAAGAAGACAGACACACTGCCTCTTTATACAGTAAGCCCAGAGTTGATCTACATGGATTTTTTCTATGAGCCAATTTACCTCCGGAGAGAAAGCACAAAAAAGGGTAAGAATATCTACAGTATTTTAAATGCTCCTTCCCCACTCCAAAAATGAAGTATTGTTTCTAACTTTCAAAGCAGGCACTAGAGCAAGAACTAGAAAAGTAGCTTTAATTAAAACTCAGAAAGGCAAGTTATCTTGTCAGGTACCCATGTTTGATTATGTGCCATCAGGTCACTGTCAACTCTTAATGTCCACATAGACAGATTTTCTCCACGATGGTCTATCCCTAACCTTGTCCTTCAGCTCTTCCATTGCTACTGTAACTGAATCCATCCACTTGCTGTTGGTCATCCTTTTCTTCTCTTTCCTTCCACAGGCACCCATAGGGTTGTAAAAACAGTGCCTTGGGAGGAAGAGGAAATATAAGAACCTAGCAATTGTCAGAAATGGATGTGATGGTACAGATCTCTTCAGCTAGAAATCAGGACAAATTCTAGAAGCTTTCCCAAGCTGCTCCCCGCATCAGTTATAATTTCACTTCAAGACTTTATTTTTACACAAAAGGAACTGGCAGCTACTGCATACCTACTGGCTTTTAAATTATAACTTGAGACCAAGCATTTGAAAAGCCCAACTTTTTTGCAGCCCCAATGTATACTGTATAGGAGAATTAACCCACTTTTTGAAAAAACTGAACTGCTTAGATAATCCCAGGGAAATGCCCATACTGTTCATTAACTTTACAGAAGGAATATAAAGCTCTCCACCCTAAGAAACTGGTAGCCCAGTAGCCTTTCTCTGCTAAAAAAAATATTTGCAGTCACTCTTTATAAAGAGACAGAGAATAAAGAGCTTGTGGAGATACCAGCATTCAGCTCAGAGATTTAAAAAGATCTTTAAAACCCTTTTCTTTTTTTTGTTAAAAATAACTTAATTATTCTGGTTTTTATGGGTAATCCTTTATCAATGATATACTGAGCACTATCTGTACAATGTTTGCATCTCTTTCCACTTACTGATATTATAACATTGTATTAATTTTTTTCCCACTTGTCCATTCTCTTCTTTAAAAATGATTAATTAAAAAAAAAGAGCTTAAAGGCAGGAAAGTCACCGCAGGCAACAGTTCCAGGTTGCTTCACTTTTGTCCCCTGCAAACAGATTAGGGGTATGCAAAATGTTTCATTTTGAATCATTTCATCTTCACAAAACTCCCCAATCTGAAGGTTAATCTGCTCTTTTTAATGCAAAACTGGTTGTTTTGAGCATTCTGGAAGTATTTTAAGGTCAAAAGAGCTGTTTAGAGCTCATAACAGTTTGAAAATATTCAAAACAGCCTATCTCATGCTCTGGGTGAGAAGTTTCACAGAATTTGGTGCTTAAAACAGTTTGAACTGAAATGTTTTACACACCTCTACACATGGACCTGCTACGCTGAATTTTGGAGCACACTGTCACAAGACAGGGAATGCAAAAGTAAGCAAGAGACAGAAAGAAAGCTGTTGGGATTACTCTGGAATACATCAAGCTGGAAGGGTGAGCATGCTCTTTCATCATAGCTGTTCCTGACTCAGAACAGCAAAGAACTCCAAGCATCTTGATCGGCGCTTATTCCACCTTTCTGGGAACATCCCAGCCACAGCTCATGGCTTTCACCACAGCGCTATAGAGCTTTGTCCAGGCTTCACGCACATTCAGCTTGAAGGCAGGACCATGGCATTTCTCCAGCATATAAAGCAAGGAGTCTCCAACAGCCTGCAAATCATAAAGAAGACTACAGAGTTAGCATTCAAACAGGAGAAGTTTCAAGGCAAATATAATTTATTAATATTGGAGAGAGATGATGGTCTACCACATGAACATGGTACAGATAGCTATCCAACCATTCGTTCAGCGACCGTTCGAAATTACAATGGCGCTGAACAAAGCAACTTACAACCTGACCCAAAGTTACAGCGATCTGGGCCCTTGGCAATTGGTTCACCCTTATGACCAGTTGCCAAGCACCCCACCATCATGTGATTGCCATTTGCAATCTTTCCTGCTGCCTGCCAGGGAAGTAGCTGGCAGGGAAGGTCGCAAGCCGCTGCCGCCCGTCCAGAGGACCCCCTCTCATCTTTGAGGGCTGCCTGATTTTGGCATGGGGCATCTTCAGGCAACCCTGAAAACCTTCATGCTGAAACCCTGCTTGGATTTCAGCATGAAGGT